GCTATATAAATGTAATATATTACTGAACTGGGTGTCTCTTTGTATGTAAGGGTCTCCTATCAATCAATCAGCTAACATTTGTTAAACACTGTTAAATGCTGAGGATACAAAGAAGAACAAATTAGTTTCTGGTCTTAAGGAGTTCAAAGTCTAATGGGGAGACAAAATGTGACTTACATAAAAATAAGATCTATTCAGGATAAACTATGGATAATCTCATAGGAAGATTAGGAAGGCTTCCCCCAAGGAGATTTTCACTGTTAACAGGCATGACATGGATGAGGGTCCACCAAAAGAGTCAGAGAAGGATCAGTCACGTAGATAGGAGGGGAACCAGGAGAAAGCAGTGTCATGAAAACAGAGAGAAAAAAGTATCAAGGAGAAGAGAGTGGTTGATGCTGTCACAGACTGAAGAAAGGTTTAAAGGATGAGGATTGAAAGCAGACCTTATATTTGGCAGTTAAGAGATCTTTAGTAACTTTGGAAAAAGCGGTTTCAGTTGAATAATGAAATCAGAAGCAGATTGAAAAGAGTTGAGAAGAGAGTGAGAGGAAAGGAAGTGGAAACACATATTGTAGATAGCTTTTTCAAGTTTAGCCACAGCAAGGAGGAGAGATATAGGACTATAGATTCTGGGGAAGGATGGATCAAGTGAGGGTGTTTTGGGAATGTAGCAGTTATGAGCATATTTATAAGAGGTAGAAAAGAAACTGGTAGACTGGAAGCAATTAAATATTAAAATAATTAATTAATAATTAATTAATAATTCTCAGGACTCATTCTGGCAGAGCTATTTTAATGGTCTTTGCATGGAGTTAACATCAAGGAATATTCAAATTCTACTGAGGGAGAAAAGGAAAGGGCTCACAAAAAGTGGAGTAAGCAGCTGTGGGAAACACTCTAGCACTTCCTATCATTACTGACTTATGATACTACTAAATTCAATTTTAGGGTTTAGAGAAAGGGCTTTTTTTTTCTGTAGAGGATTATCATTATGGAAATTCTCCCCTGTAGGAGTAGAATGCTCATCAGCTGATAATCAGGATGTGATAAGAGAAAGGACTTTAGGGATCATTTAGTCCAACTCTACCATTTTATAGATGAAGAAAGTGAAGGTCAAAGAAATGAATGACTGTTCAAGGTCATGCTGATAATAAAGGGAAGAGGTGAGATTTGAACCTAGGTCCTCTAATGCCAACTCTTATGTCCTTTCCTCTATGACATACTGTCATATCACCTTTTCAATTAAAGTTTCAAGTCTGTCACAACTACTTCTGCCTTCTATTTTTTGAACCAACTATATAGTTATATAAGCTAAGATACAGCTACTTTTGTTGCTATTATCACAATTTTGTTATTGTTAATTTTGTTTCTCCAGCAGTGCTAGACATATAATAAATAAAATAAATACTTATTGGGTTAATAAAAATCTTACCCTTTGTAAATTAAATTACAAGTAAGAATATATAAACATATAGTAATTAACATGTTAGACAAAACAAAAACCCATTTCATATTCTTTCAATTGATATTTCATTTATGATGTTATATAGCTACAAAAATACTCATTGGTAATAATGAAGATTTTAAGAAAAAGTTGACTTAGCACATCAATTGTTCTAAAGTTCTAACAATACATTGTTTCATCTATATCTATCTACTTTTTATATATTTGTTAATTTATTTATTTAACTAAAATAAATTGTTTATTTTATAAGCATTTATTATTTGTCTCTCTCACTTTCCTCTTACCTATTGAACACACACACACAAAAATACAAAACTCTCATCATAAATATGCATAGTACAGCAAAACAATTCAGCTATACCCCAAAATATGTCTCTCTGCATTTTAAGTTCACCATCTTTCTGGTAAAAGTCAATAACTCACTGTTAAACAACAAGAAAATCTTATAATAATGCCATAATTCAGCTATGTATGCAAATATTATGTACTTTATTATCTACCTAGAGGCAGCTAGCTTGCATAAAAGATAGATTGAACTTGGAGTCAGGAAGATCTGAGTTAGAACCTTAACTCAGACACATTATCTGAGAGACCCTGGTCAAATCACAACCTCTGTTGACCTTCCTTTCTTCATCTACAAAATGGGAATAACAATTGATGCTTCACATGATTCACATCAACCACAGGGTTGTTTGTGAATATAAAATGACATACTATATGGAAATTTGTATACTTTAAAGTAATATATATGTTATTTATTATTATTACTAGACATATCTCAGATTCACTCATTCAACAAGTTAAAAATTTTTTTTATTAAGGTCTTACTGTGTCAAGACACTGTGCTAGGCATTAGACATAATACCTTGCATAGTGCCTGGCACACAGTAGGTGCTAAATAAATGTTTATTGATTAATTGATTGAAGCAATTCCTTTCAACTCACAAAGAGCTTCATCCTAATGGGAAACAAGGACATTTCTCTGAATACAGAAGTAACTTCTTTGTTTTTGCTTTGTTGCCTTTTACTAATCAATGTTGTAGAGTCACAGACAAATAATAATATCCAGTAATAATAATAGTAATAGTAGCTAACATTTTCAATGTATGAATGCTTCACATATATTATTTTATTTGGTCCTTACAGCAATCTTCTGAGGTAGGAACTATTGTTATCTACATTTACACAAGGCAAAAGTGAGGCCAAGAGTTCAGTGATTTGCCCAGGGTCATACAGCTAGTCTAAGGCAAAATTTTAATTCAGGTCTTCTTGCCTCCAACCAAATCCAGTGCTTTAACCATTAAACCAATCTGCCTTAAAAAGTTAAAATTAGATTGAATTTCCAGAAGTCATGTTCAAATTCTCCCTTATGCCAAACATACGTGTCATAAGTAACCTTAAGGTATTATAAATATTTACATTAGCCACCTTGTGTGACTAAATAAAATTTCACTATATTGTGTAGTGGGGTACAATTTTTTTTCAGAGAAATTTAAGTTTCCTGAGAGTAAAATTTATTCCATTTTTATCTTTGTATTATCAGCTCCTAGAATGGTGCCATGCACACGGTGGGAACTTAGTTCAATATTTGTTGAATTTTGTAAAACAATTTGCAACATAACATTGCAATCAATGTAATCATGGCAAGAATAAAGATATAGGATTACTAGTAAAAAGAAATTAGTAATATTGTTATTTTAATTGGCAACATGCTTATCATTTCAAGCGTGGATTCATGACTATCATTGCAGAGGATATCTGATTCTATGGGTATGGCCTACATTCCTTTTCTTTATGTAAGAGTATGGCCTCTAAGCTCTGGGTATTTATCTGCACATCTTGTCATTTTTGTCTAGCCTGGTGGAGCAAGTGAATCCACACAGAAAGACAGGGGCAACACTAATGCCCAGAAGGGAAGAGATAGCAATAGTGTGTTTTCAGATAGAACCAATGCATACAGGGACAATGCTGTAGGAAAAAATACTAAGAGAGAGAAAAAGAGATAGAGACAGTGAGAGAGAGACAGAGACAAAGAGAGACTGAGAGAGAGATAGAGGGAGACAGAGAGAGACAGAGAGAACTAAGAGAGGGATTCCCCTTCATTTCTCAAATCTTACTTAAATCTTCCTAATGCCTTTTCTTTGTTCTGAATGTAGTGAAAGTGGACAATATCTGGAGACATACCCTTTCTTACCCCTCTGAGACAAGCCATTAGACTGTAATTGATTGATAAGAATAAATACCCAGAAAAATTATGGTGATGATGACCTCAGTTTTAGAAAAATGCATATAATAAGAATTTCATAGGGGGAAATCTATTTGACTGAAAGAAAAAAAAATTTTCCTCAAGATTTTATTCAAGTTTTCCAGAAATAACACGAAAATCTGACTATGGTCAAATAGACTTGCTTGTTTAAGCAGATAGTCATATTTCAGAGAGATCAGTGGTCCTTTAGCCCTGATCAATTCAAAAGAATACAACATCTGGAGTAGCTCATGTCTAAATCTGCAGAAAAAATATCCTTGTTGTAGCTGCATTTGGGGTTTTTGCACTGGAATACAGTATTTTTTAAAAAATAACTTAACCAAGTAACATTCAGTACCAATCAACTGTCATAAAATATTAAAAATTACTTTGAAGAATCAGACAAGCAACCAGACCATGAAAAATGTCACCACATTTATTTTAGTAGAAGTCCCTGCCCAATTTTGAACTGAAGCATAATTTAAAGCATATCAGCTCCCATTGCAAAATGGCAAAGTCCATGGAGAAATCATGAACCAAATTATTTACGGGGAAAGGGGCAAGTCTAGGAGGATACACAGATTGTCAAGCTGGAAACCTTAAAAAAAAGGTAACTTCCCTACAACAAAATACATAATTGCCTCATGTGTGTAATTTGTAAATAATGGGAATATCATATTTCTACTTTAGCTTTTGTGAATGCCTATTTAATGCTAATACATCTATTTTGGTACCCAGTAGAAATCTAAATTTTAGATCACATAGAAAAGCTTTTGAAGATAAGTCCCCTGGATAGTCCTTTGCCTCCCTGCCCCATTGCTTAGCAAGGTCCTCATTATATACCAATGAGGTAAGCTAGCCCTTTTTGCAGCCTCCCTGCAAAGACCAAGCAGTAAATACATTCTAAATATTTTATCCAATATCATGTTAGTTCTATGATTCCAAGTATATCATTGTCATCTTGATTTGAAAAATATACATTATTCTGTATTAGGTGAGCAACATAAAATGGGTGTCATTTGACACCTACACTTAACTATATCTGATTTCTAATTGTCCTTTTGTGAAAGCACTAATAAAATTTAAACTGTACATTATACTATTTGGTATGGAAAAACACAACCACTGACCCATTTTTTCATTTTTTTGTACTGCTTCCATATACTTTTAGCTGATACAAAATTACAAAGATTGATATGAGCTATATTCCATGAACATTTCTCATCATGGGTACATATTACATTATATAGGTACATGTATCTATAGCTGCCTAGATCTAAGACTTACCTCTTTGCTTTCTTCCAGATCTGATTCGCTGCTGAAGTCTTCTGTGTTTAAATTTTCAAAGTCAGATTCTCCAACAGCAATTGGCACTGTTACTGTGAGGCTGGGGTTGTTTATAAATGACATGTAATCACTTTCATCAATTATGTATTTTTCCACACTGCTGCCTGTCCCAATTCCACTTGTAGTCCCATTGGCATCTTTCAGATAATCAAGATCTTTTCCTGCTTCTGTTGTGTGATTGGACATGCAGCTATCCTTCTTGTTGTTCAGATCATCAAGTGGTTTGATTTCATCTAAAACCTTTTGTTTTCTGACAAAGGCCTGCTGAATGAATTCATATATTTTCCTTTTCACATAAGCTACTCCCCGATGCATTCGATCCACAGCAATCTGGAGGTTGTTCATTTCATTATCATCATCTGTAGCAGCAAGGTTGTCTGCACTAAATGAACTCAGTAGTAAGGCCAGAAACAGATTCAGTACCTTTAAAAGATAACAAATACATAAATTACAACTCTTCAGGGTAAAGAAAAATATATTATGACTGTATGCTCTGAGAAATGAGGCACATAAATACCTAACATTTAGAGAGTGCTTGAAAGTTTACAAAGTGTTTCCCTCACAACAACCTTCTGAAGTAGGTAGTTCAAATGTTATCGTATCAGTTTTATAGATGAGAAAACTGAGGCTTAAAGAGATTATTTGAAGTGCTCTCATACTCACACAGTTGGGAAAGTCAGAACAAGAACTTGAAAATAGATTTTTTTCCCTAGTATATAACACTTCCCTCTCCCCCATGAGACTCAACAATTGAAGAAGGTGTATCATAATCTAGTGGAAAGAGTGGTAGATTGGGTATAAAAAAGCCTTGAATTTTAGTTTTGCCTGATACTTTGATGGACCTATGATATTTCTGATTTTATTACTCTGGTACATATGGCAAGTGATCTATACTTGTAATTTTTTTAATTGATTTTTTTTTTCTTTCCTGGACCTATGATTTAATCTGTGTAAGGAATTCCTGGTGAAGAACTTTCTTCTACCAATGCCCAGAAGTTGTAGCTAATATCTTGTTACCTTATTTTTTAATCTAATTTTTTCTTTCTTTTCAAAATCTTTCTCTCTTTGAGATGTATCGATACCTGAAACCTGGGTGTCCTTAAAATTGTTTTGCCTTTAACACAGATTTATTCTACATGTATTTGGAGTTGCTCTTCCTGACTTCATCTTCTTAAAGGCCATTTTGTGGCCTGTATTAAGTAAGGAGTTGCTGGAATCTAAATTTGATGATTTCATTGCCATTGATGATGAGTATAGATTGGCATAGGATTAATAAACAAATTTATTATTTTTTATTTCAATTTGGAATTCCCATGACAGTTTCACTTATTAATACTCCCAGGATGTTAAAAATTATCATAAATTATACTGCATTGGAGCATTACTATAGAGCAAACTGTTGCCCACAATTATTTAATACCATTGATCCATAACAATTTAAAACAAAAATTTTCATAGATGTCACCATACCAAATAATTTTCAAGCTAGATATAATAAAGAGCTTCCAAAATAGAGGTCTAGCAAAAGAAGTCAAAATTGTGTGGGTAGAGGATGAGGTTCCCATGGTCTTGTTCTCGTACTGACCAAGGATGCTCTTTGTGAGTCTACAGAAGATGAACTTAACATCCTAATACTTTTATTCAACTATAGAAACAATTATTTTATCCATCTGTACTACAATTTATAGAATGGCAAACATAAAAGAATAAGACAGAATAGTGATTTATCCCAGGACCCTCTATCTGAACTCTATCAAATAAGATAGGAAGAATGAGGTGATAATTTGTATAATGCTGTAAAGTTTATAAAGTGCTTTCCTCAAAACAAGTGAAGGATGTAATGTAAATTTCAGCCTTTGAAGGGACCTTGCAAGGACTCCAGCAACATCCTCAACCCACTAATAGAAGAAGGCCCTAGGGAGGCTCAAAAACCTTAGAGTCATCCTATCAGATTAAGACCAGCAGTAACTGTCTGAAGTCTTTTTTCAGGCAACTGGGGAGTTGCTAGCATAAATTGGCACCTGTTCCCAATTTCAGATTTCTCATTCCTCTTTACCAATGCATGGTCCAGCTAGACCCAGATAAGAACACTGCAAAAACTAACCTGATCTGAGAAGAGTACCTCACTCTCTCCAGGGCCCCAGTAGGATTAATACAATTACACCTGGGGATCCAGAAGGCTGAATCTATTTCCACTATCTTTTCTGCCTTCATATTGTAAGTATGACCTCTCAATAAAACTGGTTTGCTTTACTGTCATGTTATATGTGCTGTGTTTCCTTATATTCAATCTTGGGATCTTGAGCCTTCCTAATTCTTCATTAAAACACCTCAAAGGCCACCTAGGGAAACCCACATCTGAACATACCTAACAAGCAGTTATTCAATCTTTATCTAAGGACTCCTATTGAGGAGGAAACCCTCTATTTCCCAAGGAAATCTATTCCACTCTTGGATAATTAATTTTTGTAGGAAGTTTTTCTAGACATCAAGTCTAATTTTTCTTCTGCAACTTCCATCCATTTTTCTTAAATCTACCCTCTGGGACTAATCAGAACAATTTTGATCTGTTCTTCCCATGACAGCCCTTTAAATACTTCAAGTACTTAAATACAGCTATCATGTCCTCCTTAAATCTTTTTTTTCCAGGCACAACATTCTGATTCCATCAACCATTCTCATTTGGCATGAACTCAAGGCCATTCACTATTTTGGTTGTCTTCCTCTAAATGCTTTCCAACTTATTTATGTCCTTCCTAAATTGTCAGTTAGTCAACAAGCACACCCTAAGCATTTACTATGTTTCAGGCACTGTGCTAAGGGCTGGGAATTCAAAGAAAGGAATAAACATTTCCTTTGCTCGAGGAATTAACATTACACCATGAACATAACTAGGTACATGTAATATAAATACAGAGTAGATGGAAGTTTATCACAGCAAGGAAGGCATTAGGCACTGGTTGGGGTGAACATTTTGATCTGTCTCTTGAAGGAAGCCAGAGAAACAAAGACATAGAAGGAAAGGGGGGGAGAAAACTTCAGACAATGGGGACAACCAGTACAAAGACACTGAGATGGAGAATGGAGTGTGATGTGTGAGGATCAGTCAATAGGCCAGTGTAGTTTGATGGTAGAATGTCTGAATGGAAATATAAACAGAATGAAAATGTAGGAAGAGATCACATTGCGAAGAACCTCAAATGTAAAATTGAGGAGTTTTTATTTGATCACAAAAGTAAGTGGAAAGCCACTGAAGCTTGTTGAATAGTTGGTTGTTTATTAGGAGGCAGCATGGAATTATGGATAGAATAGGAAGATCTGGGTTCAATTTCTACCTCAACACTTGGAAGCTATATGAAGTAGGCAGATAACTTACTATCTGTGTGCCTCAGTTTCTTTATATGTAAAATGAGTGTTGAACTCAGGTTTCTGACATCCCTTTTGTATCTAAATATATGACTGTAGGGAAGGGTTAACATGGTCAGATCTATACTTTAGAAGAGTTACTGTGGCAGGTGAGTAAATGTTAGATCACAGTGGTAATAGACTTAAGGTAGGGAGAACAATTTGAAGGTTATTTTAATAGTCCAGGTTACAGGTGATGGGGGCCTGTTAGAGGATGGTTGCTGTATGAGAAGAGAAAAAGAGACATAAACAAGACATACTGTGAAAGTAGAAAACACAAGATTGGATATCTGGGGCAAATGAGCATGAGGAGGTAAGGATGACACCTAGATTGAGAGCCTGGGTATCTGGAAAGGCAAGAAATAAACATTTATTAAATAACTATTAAATGCCAGGTGCTGTGCTAAGCATTTTACAAATACTATCTTATTTAATCATCACAACAACATTTAGAAGCAGATACTATGATTATCCCCATTTTATAGTTGAGGAAACTGAGGCAGACAAAACCTCAGTTGTCACTCAGTTGCCTAGGGTCACAGAGTGAGTAAGGGGAGAATAGTGGAGACTTCAATAATAACAGAGAAATTTGGAAGAGGGGTATTTGGAGAGAAAGATAAATTATTTTGGAAACTTTGACTTTGATGTGCACAGATGTCATCCAGCCTGAGAAGTCTAAAAGTTAGTTGTCATTGCAGTACTGTAGTGCAAGAGAGATTATGCCAACATATGTAAATCTGGGAATCATTTGAATAGGGATGATAATTGAACTCATAGAACCTTATGAGAACACTAAGTGGCAAAGTATGAATGGATAAGAGAAGAGGGCCCAAAACAAAGCCTTGGAGGACACCCACAGTTAATATGCATGGCATGGATGAAGATTCAGCAAAGGAAATTGGGGAGGAGCAGTCAGAAAGGTAGGAGGAGAATCAGGAGAGAGAAGCATCATTAAAACCTAGAGAGGAAAGAGAATATCCAGGAGGAGAAAAAGGGATCAACAATGTCAAATGCTGAAGAGAGGTCAAGAAGACTGTGGATTAAAAAAAAAAGCTGTTCAGTTTTTCAATTAAGAGATAATTGGTAACTTTGGAGATGGTAATTTCAGTTGAATTAGGATATAGAAAACCAGATTTCAGAAGGTTTAGAAAAGAGTGAGAGAAAAGGAAGTAGAGGCACCGAATGTGGAAAGCTTTCTTAAGGAGTTTAGCCAAGAAGGTTAGGAGACATAAAAGACAATATTTGGTAGAGATGTCAAGTGAAGTTTTTTTTTTTTTTTTAAGAATGGGGAGACATGGGTGTATTTGTAGGCAAGAAGGAAGGGTCCAATAGATAGAGAAAGATTGAAGATTAGAATGTCTGGTTTCCCCACACCTGTTATACAAAAATCCAAAAACCACATCAGACCAGATCCTAATTGGGAAATCTAAGAAAAAAATCATAGTGTCATTTTTCCAGCCCAGATAAGTTGAGGGAGATAGACAGAGAGGTTTGTAGACACTGGGATTGGAGTCTAACTGGGAAGGTCCTGATGGACTGCTGAAATGAAAGCACTGAAAGAGGGCTAAGGATATGTATCAGGTCAAGAACAAGTCCTAGACTCACACAGAGGCTCCTTACTTGTCTAGGATTCAAGAAAAGGTGCCAGTTGGCAGCTCTCAAACTCATACCCATTTTTAGGTCATAGACTTGGATGGACTAAGGAAGGAACCTGCACCTGAGGCGGCTGGGGTGAGTAGTGTTTTAAGCTGGGTACTGAGCAAGAAGCAAGTTCAGAAGCAAGCAGCAGTTGAGTGGCTCTGACCTCAAGAGGAAAGCAGAGCAAGGTCTCGGGTTCCAGATTCCAGCCCAGCTTGAAGCCTACAGTGAAATCCAACCAAGACAAAAAAACAAAAACAAAAACAAAGGGGATCCTGTAGATCTGTCATTTTAAAACATCAGAATTATTCAGCTGGTTTATAATGTCTAAGACCAGCAGCAATCTACTGAAACACCAACCAGGAGTAAACCCATAGATG